GTTCCTCCCTCCGAGCACCGGGGCGGGGTGGGGGTCCCGGTACCGGGCGAGGGTCCCGGTGGGGCTGCCCCGAGGCGGGGCGGGGGTCCCGGTACCGGGCGAGGGTCCCGGTGGGGCTGCCCCGAGGCGGGGCAGGGGTCCCGGTGCCGGGTGGGGGTCCCGGTGAGGCTGTCCCGGGGCGGGGCAGGAGTCCCGGGGCGGGGTGGGGGTCCCGGTGCCGGGTGGGGGTCCCGGTGAGGCTGTCCCGGGGCGGGGCAGGGGTCCCGGTGCGGGGTGGGGGTCCCGGTGGGGCTGTCCCGGGGCGGAAGGGGGGGTCCCGGTGCCGGGTGGGGGTCCCGGTGAGGCTGTCCCGGGGCGGGGTGGGGGGGTCCCGGTGCCGGGGCGGGGGTCCCGGTGCCGGGTGCCCGTGCCAGCCCGCGCTGCCGCCGGCGCCGGGCGTGGGCAGCGCCCTGGAGCGGGTGGTGCTGCAGCGGCGGAAGGCGGAGGAGCAGCGGGAGAAGCCGAAGGAGGAGGAGCGGGAGCAGCGGCGGAGCTGGGCGGGGTGGGCAGGGGTCTTCACACCCCCTGCCCCACCCGAGCCCCCCCGGAGGCGGGGAGAGAACCTCGACCCCACCCCGGGAAATAAAAGGGTGTCAAGGGCCAGTGCAAATCGGGGTGAGCGGTGCCGCCTCACTTGGGGGGCACAGAGCAGCCCCCCAGGACTTGTGTCCCCCGGTGCCAGCCCGGGACTGAAGCCTCAGCCCCCTCCCGAGGCTGGAGCAGGTAAACTGAGGCACCAGGATCCCAAACCACCACAGGGGTTCAGTCAACATCCGATTTATTGACAGTGGGGAGGGGTCTGGGGGGGTCTGGGGGAATTTGGGGGTTGAGCAGGTCACAGCAAGTGGGGGGGCTGGGGACAGCTCAGTAGTGCAACAAAAGGGAGGACACGGGGACAGGGACATGGCAGGGGGGCTCAGGCCTGGTGCCCCCACCCCACCAGGGTGCAGGGAAGTGCTACTGGTCCTACTGGGACAGGAGCAGTCCCTTGCTGGGATGGGGGACACCCCCGGGGCGGGTGGCGACTTTGGGGGGCAGTGAGGGAACAACAGGCACTGCTCCAACCCCCCCCAGCCCTGTCCCCAAGCGCCACCAAGGCGGGGACACCAGGACACCCCCCCAGTGCCCTCGAAACGCCAAACCCCCCCGGGGACCCCTCGCGGGTGGGCTGGGGGGTCCCGGGGGGGCTCAGGGCACGCGGTAGGTGGAGGTGTTCTTGGGCTCGGTGCTGGGCACGCACCAGTCCCCCGCCTCCTGGCTGGCCTGGTAGTGCCGCCACGCCGACTTGTTGTACACGGGCAGCCGCTCCACCGACTCCGTGCACAGCGCCTGGGGGTGGGCACGGGGCTCAGCGGGGGTCCCGACCCCCCCCCGGGCCGGGGCCGGGCACGGGCACCCACCTTCAGGTAGATGACGGCGTCGGTGCCGAAGCCCTCCATGGAGAAGAGCTGCAGGTCGCCCTGGAAGTACTTGGCGTAGAGGCGGGAGATGGGCAGCCCGTAGCCAAAGCCGGCCTGGGGGGCGAGGAAATGGGGCTGGGGGGATCCCCGGGGCTGGGGGGGCACCCCCGGCCTCCCCACAGCGCCCCAAGAAGCACCAGGAGCGTCCCTTGGCACTGCCGGCGGTCGTGGTGGCACCGCCAAAGGGCCCCGGAATGGACACAGGGGTCCCACTGCCACCCCTAAGGGTCTCTATGTCACCCCTAAGGGTCCCCATGCCAGCCCAAAGGGTCCCCCTGGCACCCTAAATGGTCCCACTGCCACCCTAAAGGGCCCCACTGCCACCCCAATGGGCCCCAAGCCACCCCAGTGTCCCCATGCCAGCCCAAATGGTCCCACTGCCATCCCAAAGGGTCCCACTGCCACCCCAAAGGGTCCCCATGCCACTTCCAAGCACCTGCATGCCACCAAATGTCCCCATGCCAACCTAAATGTCCCCAAAAGGTGCCAGGCCAAGGCCAAACCTCCCTGTGCCACTCCAGCCCATCCCAATCACCCCCAAAACACTCCCAGGCCACTCCAGCCACCCCCAGACCTCCCCATGCCACCCCCAAACCTCCCCGTGCCACTCCAGCCCACGCCAATCTCCCCCAAAACACTCCCAGGCCACTCCAGCTCCCCCCCAAAGCTCCCCGTGCCACTGCAGCCCCCTCAAACGCCCCCAACCCCTCTCCCCTGCCCGGGGGGGGGTCTCATACCAGGGGGGCGCCCCCGGAGCCCAGCTGGGGGGTGGGGGCAGTGGAGTACATGTAGCTGAAGAGCCGCTCGATCTTCCTCAGGGGCACCCCCATGCCCCTGTCGCTCATCTGGGGACAGCAGAGCAGGTGAGGCCCCCGCTCCTGTGCCCCCTGCCCAAGCCCCCCGCCCGCAGCGGGGCTGGGGTCCCTCACCCGGATGGACAGGTCCTCCTGGCCCAGGGCCACCAGCACCCTGATGGCCGGCAGTCGGGGGCTGCTCTCGTGGCTCTCCACCGTGGCTCTCATGGCGTTCTGGGGACACACAGCCCCCCCCCGGGGGTGTCAGGGGGTCCCCAGCAGCCCCCCGGGACCCCCCCAAAGGGCTGGGGTACCTTGAAGAGCTCGAAGAGCATGTGGTACAGGTGGGACGGGACGTAGACGATGCTCACGGGCTGCTCCGAGTTGCAGGCTGGGGTGGGGGGGACATGGGGATTGGTGGGGACAGTGCTGACCCCAAACATCCCCCGGCCCTAAAGGGGTCACCTGAGAATCCCCCCATGGCAGGGACCCCCAGACTAAAGAAGCCAAGCATCCCCAATCCTAAAGGAGATGAGGACCCCAACCCAAAATGAGCCACACAGAAATCCACCTGCCCCAGGGTCCCCAAACCCAAAACCTGAGAGTGCCCAAACCCAAAGGAGCCACCTGAGCGTCCCCAAAGCGCCACCTGAGAGGCCCCAAACCCAAAGTGCCACCTGAGAGTCCCCAGACCCAGAGGAGCCACCTGAGAGGCCCCAAACCCAGAGGAACCACCTGAGAGTCCCCAAAGGAGCCACCTGAGAGGCCCCAAACCCGAAGGAGCCACCTGAGAGGCCCCAAACCCAAAATCTGAGTCCTGAAACCCAAAGGAGCCACCTGAGAGTCCCCAAAGGAGCCACCTGAGAGTCCCCAGACCCAAAGGAGCCACCTGAGAGTCCCCAAAGGAGCCACCTGAGAGGCCCCAAACCCAAAGGAGCCACCTGAGAGTCCCCAAAGGAGCCACCTGAGAGGCCCCAAACCCAAAGTGCCACCTGAGAGTCCCCAAACCCGAAGGAGCCACCTGAGGCCCAAAACCCAAAATCTGAGTCCCGAAACCCAAAGGAGCCACCTGAGAGTCCCCAAAGGAGCCACCTGAGAGTCCCCAAACCCAGAGGAACCACCCATGATCCCCCTGCCTGAGCCCCTCCTGTCCCCTCACCCCGCTGTCCCCTCACCGTTGACCTCCTCGATCTCCAGGTCGGGCGAGGCCATGTAGTATTTGTCACACAGCAGCTTGGCCATGTTGTAGGCGTCTGCCAAAGGGGGGGACAAAGGGCTCAGCACCCCCAGGACCAGCAGGGACAGCCTTTGGGGTCCCCCCCACCCCTGAACACCCCCATACCTCCCGACCCAGGACGTTCCTGGGGTCTCCTGCACAGCTCAGGGGACACTTTGGCCGAGGCCACCCCAAGCTTGTGACACGAGTGGTGCCAGGGGGATTTTCAAAGCAACTCCCGCCCCCCAAACTGCCCCTGCCGTGGGGGGCACCCCAGAGCCCACCAACCTCTCACCACGTTGGCCACGTTGCAGTGGGGGTCGATGCTCCCGATGTGTTTGGGGTGCGCGGGGTTGGTGCTGCCATCGAAGAGCAGGGCTGGGGAGGGGACAACGAGCTGGGGGCACCCCAGGGACACCCCCGGGGCACCCTGGGGCTGCACCTGGGGGGAACATTTGACAACAGGGGAGATGCCCAAGACAGGATCCCTGGGGTTGGTGAGGACCCTCGGGACAGAGCCCTGGGATTGGCGGGGACCCTCAGGATAGACCCTTGGGGCTGGGGGGACATTCTGGGGACATCTAGTGATGACAGGGACCCTCAGGACAGAGCCCTGGGGCTGGGGAGACCCTCAGGACAGACCCCTGGGGCTGGGGAGACCCTCAGGACAGACCCCTGGGGGTGGGGTGACCCTCAGGACAGACCCCTGGGGCTGGGGGGACCCTCAGGACAGACCCCTGGGGGTGGGGAGACCCTCAAGACAGACCCCTGGGGCTGGGGGGACCCTCAGGACAGACCCCTGGGGCTGGGGGGACCCTCAGGACAGACCCCTGGGGCTGGGGGGACCCTCAGGACAGACCCCTGGGGGTGGGAGGACTCTCAGGACAGACCCCTGGGGGTGGGAGGACCCTCAGGACAGAGCCCTGGGGACACTGCGGGGGGCTTTGGGGACACCCCCGCTCTGGGGGGCAGCCAGGACCCCCCGGCCGGGCAGCCCCCTGCCCTCACTGTGCTGGTTGATGAGCATGCGGATGGAGATGCGGCTCAGGTAGAAGCGGTCCAGGAAGTACTGGATGTTCTGGTTGGACACGGGGTCGTCCCCGTAGGTCTCCTTGTACTCGATCACGCCCTGCGCCATGGTGGGGACGACGTCGTTGTGCCGGTTCCGGATTGTCACCAGCGCGTTGGTGAACCTGCCCGGGGGACAGGGCCAGCGCTGGGGACACCCGCTCCGGGCACGGCCCGATCCAGGCCGGGATTCCCCGCGAGCTGGGGGTGCTGGCAAAACCCGGAGCTGGATCTAGCCGCACTGGGGGTGGGGGCACCTCGGGGTGGCCCTGGGTGACACCAGCGCGGCTCTGGGAGGAGGTGACACCCCGGAACTGGGGACAGGGACACGCCGTCACCTCCTGACTCACTGTCCCAGCGTGGCTTGGTCCTCAGGGTCCCTGTCGTGGAATTCCATGATGTCCAGCAGGCTCTGGACATACCTGGAGGGGGGGGACACGGTCGGTCATCCCACAGCTGGCACCCCCAGACAGAGGGGACACCCCAGGTGACACCACTCAAGGGCCAGCACCCCTCAACACACGCTCCCACCCCAAAAACTGCTGCACCGGGGGTCACTGTCCCACCCAGATGCTGGCACCTGGGAGAACCTGGGGACACCTGGGGACACCTGGGGACAGGGTGCCTCTGATGGGGTTGGGGCTGTGATGGGGGGTGGCACGGCCGGACCCCCTGGCACGGCCGGACCCCGCTGGCAGTGGCCCAGGACAGTGGACAAACAACGTGTCACGTGGTGGCCCGGGAGAAGGGTCATGCTGCTGGCACTGGCACGGGGACATGGCACTTAAAGGGACACTCTGACCCACTCGGGACATCCTGTGGCTTTCAGGGAGCAGGTGGCTCCCCTGCTGACAGAGGACCTGCAGCCCGTGCCACCACTGCCAAGTGGCCTGCCTGGCACCCCTCCCTGTGTCCCTCTCCCCATAGGGGAGGACAGCAGGTGACAGCCGTGGGACACACGGTGGTGGCCGCGCAGGGGACGCAGGAGGGTGACACCAGTGGGACCCACAGGCCCCAGGAGCGGGCGATGGCGATGCCAGCAGTGCCAGCAGCCCCATGGCGGTGCCATCAGTGCCATCAGTGCCATCAGCCCCGTGGCAGTGCCATCAGTGCCATCAGTGCCAGCAGCCCCGTGGTGCTGTCCCCGTGTCCCCAAGGGCCCCGACTGACCAGCTCTGCACCAGCTGCACCGAGGGCGTGCGCAGCACCCGGTCCGGGAGCAGGTTGATCTCCTTCATGATGTTGGAGAGGCGCACGGGCAGCTCCTGGCGCAGGAAGGCGAAGGACGTCTTCTCACAGGCATTGCTGGAGCCTGGGGACATGGGGGGGACACGGGTGAGCCCCCCAAATCCGGCGCTGCCAGCACTGCCACCCCTCTGGCAGCGGGGAGAGGGGACAGGAGCAGGTCCTGGTGTGTGGCTGGGGAGGTGTTTGGGACATCGGGGGACAGGAGGGGGACAGGGCTCAACCACTGGGGAGGACAGTGCCCAGTGCCACCCAGAACTGCCCAAACTGGGGCTGGGAGACCCCCGAGTGCAGCTGGGAGAGAAGGAGCTGGGCCAGGGACACGGGGAGGGGTCGCAGGGACACGGGGAGGGGTCACAGGGACACGGGGAGGGGTCCCAGGGACACAGAGAGGGGTCAGCGCCTTGGGGGAGGGTGTGTGAAGGAATTCCTGGGATGGGGGGCTGGGAATTCCCATGAAGGGGGTCAGTAATTCCCATGAAGGGGGGGCCAGGAATTCCCATGAAGGGGGTCAGGAATTCCTGGGAAGGGGGGCAGAAATTCCCAGGAAGGGGAGTCAGTAATTCCCATGAAGGAGGGCAGGAATTCCCGGCACGGGGGAGCAGGAATTCCCATGAAGGGGGGGGTCAGTAATTCCCATAAAGG